CCTTGGAAAGGTTGACAATAAACAGGAATGATTCCAGGGAGAAGAACATCTAGAAAATGTATAAGTATTTTGAGGGCTAGAGGTCGAAAAGGCACATATTAGAGCTTGTTATGATTGATGCCCCTAAACACAAGATGTTTTCTCTAGAGACATAACCAATAAAAAAGGATGAAGCAGAGAGATAAACCAGTTTTATTATAAATAGAAATAACAAGCTGAATGTGCATATCATATGCATATGTTATAAACCAAAGTAATACATTTTCTTATGGTTTACATTTAGCAAAGTTTCTAGGACATGTAAGTAGAGATAAGCTCAAGGTTTGATCCGAACACAAATGACAAACTCCTTGTTGGTCAGTGAAGGCCAAATATCATACAGTATATAGTAGTGGTATTTCTATCACTTGCTAAATATGACAGCTTTTTCCTGTCAATGGTTTCTAAGGAAGTAGCAAATGCAGGCATGAGCTGCTTTCTTAGCAAACAGTGATGTCAACCAGCCCCATTCATTTACTAGCCATGTAAACTGAGATTGACATGGACTTACTGTTTTCTTTTTGTGTTTGAAAGAGTAGGGATAATATGAACCTCTTACTACACTACTTATTTACTACACAGCGAAAATATCTTCAGGTCTCCTTATTGTTAAATGAGGGTTCCAGAATTTGATAAGCCCCTGTCTGCAGAACTCTGAACCACTGGGTGAGGGTTGTGGGTAAGAGGCCCTTGTCCTCATCAACACAAGGCAAGGTGTTTTTCCAGTGGGGTCCCCCTTGCAAGGGACCCCTATGTTGAGGGCATGTTGTTCAGTAGGGGGGGGGGCTGTTCACCCTCCCCCTTTTCTGGTATGCCAGGTTGCATGCTAGGATTAGGGCCTGGTAGGGATTTGGGAGGCTCATTTTTTTTCTTGTTTTCTGTAGGGAGTCCCCCCATAAAAAAGTGATATAAAATTTGAGGGGCTCGTGGGTTTTGTTTTTTTTTTTTGCTTTTTGTGTGGTGCCCCCCTTGATATCCATACTAGACCCTTATAAAGAATAAGGGTCTGGTATTTCTTTAGCGAGAACCCAATGCATTTTTTGTAGGGGCCCTCCATTATTGTCTATACCAGACCCTTATCTAGGATAACAGTCTAATTTAGGTGAAGAGAATCCCTAGCTACTTTGTTTATAAACAGAAGTAAGTGGCTGGGAGCTGTAATTTGCTGGAGAATTTAAGCCACTTTTTTGCCATTATAACTGTCAGTTTTGCTGTAGTAGGTCATAAACGTTGTACACATGCAGCACTAGACAGTCAGGTTAAGGGCACCCCCAAGGCATTCTATTTAAATAAATTTTGCATTTGTAGTGTTGACCTTTAAACATATTAAAATTGCTGCTCCATAGTTTTGCCTATTAGCTTAGCCTAGCAAGTGATCATGACCTGACTTAGTAGCACCCCTAAAAATCCCATACCAGACTAGCTCAGCCCCATGGTGTACCTGGAAATTTCCCAATCAGTTTCTCAACAACACAGTCAACATTAAGGCATCACATCATTTCACCCCTGATTCAGCAGTGAAGTATACCTGAGAAGATCATATTCTTCCACTCCTAACTAAGCAGTAATCCTGTAAATACCACTGTTCCCGCAACCCCAGAATTATGCTATTTTTAAATGTTACTGTTCCCACATTCCTGATTTAAAGGCCTACTGTATCTGTGCTTTCATCCCTGTTCCAACAACTCCCTCTATCTATAATATCACTTTTGTCTCACAATCTTTAAATAAGCAGTGTGGTAGCCTTGGAAATATCACTCCTGTATTTATCATCCATTCCTTATATACTGTATATCCTTCTCTGAACCCAGTCTTACAATAAGCATCACTGGGCATATTTTATTCCTGGCCAATCACTCTTAGAGTTTTTCTGTTAAACATTTCCTGGTCATCTGCTTCCTTGTGAAAATATTTATTTTCTGATGTGTATAATAGTGCTGGACTAACAGAAGAAAAAATTGGTTCCAATGGATCTACCATAATGTAATTTTTCCTTCAAAGAAGCAAATCCATGATTAAAGTCTAGTATAGATGGTATTCTGGTCCTAGGCTGCTAAATCTCTGATAGTTACACAGGGAAGCCATATGATAGATACTTGAATGTGTATGGTGGACCACCTGGCACAGAAATTCGTGTCACTTAAAGGGCTTTTTTGAAACATTTAATGGCCAAGAGCATCAGATGCAACCAATGCATTTTGAGGGGAAAGGTCTCTCTTATCTTCAGGTTTGAGCAGTCAATGTTTATAAAATCACAACAGAGTGCACAAAGGGACCTGTGTTAAGGTTTGCTGAAGATGCAGAAATAAGGTGGAAACTGACCTAATGTCTCTTGATGACACTGCAGGAAGCCAGCATAGTCTGAGGGGTTTATTCAATAAGGCAGCAAAGAGCAATTATATACAAATTGCAGCATCCCATGAAATTCAAAAATAAAATAATTTCTGACCACAGAAACAAGAAATAAGGGCAGTGATTAAAATTCTAGTTCATCATTGTTCAGGGCATGCACTAGCCAGCTGTGGGAAGACACAATTGCCTACAAAACTGAGTAATCAAAATGGATTTCTGTTGCATTATACAGTATATATATTTGAATATTGAAATATTGAATCGTATGAATATTTCATCTAACAACATTTCATCTCTGTAAAGGTTCTCAAAAAAAAAAATTAATCTTTTGTCTCTGTCAATTTGACAAACTGTCCTTATTGTATCTTAACTCCAACCCTATTTTAATTAGTTTAGCTATGCCAGCTGATTCATATGAAATCACTATTTTTAACATCTTAATTTCCTGAGTTGAGTAATTCACCATTGTTTGGTTAACTATCATGATAAAGCCTATTTCTTCATTCATCATTTCTGTTTGTCTTCACCAGACAAAGAATAATAATATATATTAAGTGTTCATGGCAGAACAAAATATGTAAATGAGAAAAGTTCCTGACATCTTTAGCATATCTGTATTGGGTTATTGATCATGAAACTATCACCTTTATAGAAAACAACTTTTACATGTTTATATGGCTTCCTTTTCTTTCTTCACAATGGATTTAAAGTGTTTTGCATATTTAAAAGTTATTTGAAAAGTGCTTTAGACAATGGTAGTCAGTCAGTTCTAGGCTGGGGCAAGGGAGGACTGACCATTTGGAAACTCGGGCACTGCCCAAGGGCCCAGGGTCAGTAGGGGGCCCCATGAGATGCCCCTGGTACCTTTTTCATAGGCTTTTTTGAGTTTGGGCAAGGACACAGGGGCCCCATGATCCCCTATTGCCCGGGGGCCCCATGAGTTGTCAGTCCACCCCTGGGCTGGGGTAGCAATAAATGGTATAAAATGAATTATAAAAATTTAAAAATATCTGCCTGAGTCTAAACTTTGGTGCCCTGAATTTCTGGGAGCTCTAAAATGCACAAATCTTCTGAATCAGTGGGTGGGAATCTTTACTCTCCTCTTCTAAGCCTCACAATTGGTCAGTTACTGTAATGGTTAGCCTCACTAGTCAATAGCAAAACATAGAACACAGGTAGGCTCCTAACTAGGATGTAATGTTATTATAGAGAACACTAGGAATGCTAGACAACAGAAGTACATAAACCTGACAGTAGGTAGCTGCGATGTTCTGACATAGCTGAAATTGTTTTTAGGCCTGAATTAAAGTGAACCATTGCTTTGCCTATGCAAATCCAAAAAGCTTTGGACAGAGCAGGGAAGGCTTAAATCTCGTGACAGTTCTTTTATTTGCCACCTGTGTTCAGTTGGAGAGTTTACCCCCTGCATTTCTGTCCAGTAGACACAACAGGAAGTGAGAGGAAATATCTTCAAAGTTTTGTACTAGTGTCAATAGTCACTTGAAAAAATAGAAAGGGTAACTTTCCCCAGCAGAAACATGGTCAATAAAAGCCTGACAGGTTTGCCAACCTTCCTGCACTCCAAAATCAAACAAAACATTTTTAGCTTTAGCTACATTTTACCCATCACCTATATGATCTGTATTTCTTTTTTGCTTCTCTAACTTTCAGAGGAGGATAACTAAACTGTCAGGAGTACATACAGAAAACTATATGTAAGATTCAAGTTGAATCATTTAGGACCCAAAAATGTGGTTTTAGGCATATGATATATACACATACAACAAAATCCCCCCCCCCCTCCCATTCAGAGTTTTCAAACCCCACTTGCGTATTCTCTGAACAAATGTTATAGGGGATTTCCTCACACAAATTTGACGTTAAATCCTCTTCCAGTCTGAAATAAAGCGCTACATATATAAGCTGTCTTTAATATATTTTATTTAGTCTTACTCTAGAAAACTGCATTAAGCTCCTTTAAAAATTTATATTTACATATGTATAGCATATGTTCTAATGAGATCTAATGTAGGTCAAAAAGCTTATAATGTAGACACCCTAGAGTCAAGGAATAGCACATTAATATGTCAGATCTTTTCTAGAGCTGTTGAAGGTATTTTGCTCAAACTCTGACAACCCACTTGTACAGTTAAGGAAAGTGGAACTATAGCATTAGACCCGTAGGTTTATTTTGTGTGCAACTTTATTCCATTAACCACTTGCTTACCGGGCACTTATACCCCCTTATTTACCAGGCCAATTTTCAGCTTTCAGTGCTGTCGCACTTTGATTGACAATTGCGCGGTCATGCAAGATTGTACCCATATAAAATTTTTATCATTTTTTTCTCACAAATAGAGCTTTCTTTTGGTGGTATTTAATCGCTGCTGGGCACTTTAATTTTTGTCCTATGAGCAAAAAAATTGCAAAAAAATTTGAAAAAAAAAAGTTTCTTTGTTTCTATTATACAATTTTTCAAACAGGTAATTTTTCTCCTTCACTGATGTGCGTTGATGAGGCAGAACTGATGGGCACTGATAGGCAGCACTGATGGGCACTGATAGGCGGCACTGATAGGCAGCACTAATGAGGTGGCACGGATAGGCGGCACTGATAGGCAGCTCTAATGAGGTGTCACGGATAGGTGGCACTGATATGCGGCACTGATTGGTGGCACTGATAGGCGACACTGATAATGGGTACTGATAGACAGCACTGATAGGTGGCACTGACTGACATCACTGCTGGGCACTGACTGGCGGCACTGCTGGGCACTGACTCGCACAACCGCTGGGCACTGACTGGTGGCACTGACTGGCAGCACTGCTGGGCTGCACTGATAGGAACTGGTGGGTGGCACTGGTGGGCACAGGTAGGTGGCACTGGTGGGCACAGGTGGGTGGCACTACTGGGCACAGGTGGTGACACTGCTGGGTGGCACAGGTGGGTGCACTGCTGGGCACAGGTGGGGACACTGCTGGGTGGCACAGGTGGGTGCATTGCTGGGCACAGGTGGGCGCACTGCTGGGCACAGGTGGGGGCGGCGGAACTTGTGTGTGGGCACTGCTGGGCACCGATCATCAAGGCACTGATGATCAGTGACCCTGATGATTGGTGCCAATCCCCGTTCTGACAACTGCCAGTTTTCGGTAGTACTTTCCTCACGATCTGACAGCGTGAAGAAAGTGCAGCCGAGAACCGGCATTTGTCATTGGACACGGCTGATCACGTGGTAAAAGGCCGCTGTGATTGGCCTTTTACCACGTCACGTGATCAGCTGTGTCCGTAGGACACAACGATCACGGAGATCGCCGGGTGCGCGCCCCCGGGGGCGTGTAGGAGAGCGCGTTCTGGGAGGACATCATATGACGTCCACCCAGAACTGGCCGGCCGCAGTGCAGCCGTCATTTGGCTATCTGCGGTCAGCAAATAGTTAAAGGTCAGCAGTACAATTCAAAAAGTATACAACGCATTTTGGGGGTCTAAGTGCCCCCTTCATCAGGGCTTGACTGCCAACAAAGTGAACTGAATCTACAATAATATATTTTCCAGTGTGAATTAAAAGCACGGGCCTTATCAGCAGCTTGTTTGACCTGCCAAATAGGCCTGTGCTTTTAATTCACACAGGAAAAAATACCGTTGTAGGTCCAGTTCACTTCTGTTTTTTTCTCTTTGTTGTCAGTCAAACCGTGATAAAGGGAGCACTTAGATCCCCAAAGCACATTGGCTACTTTTTTTTTTAATTCTACCCCTCACCTTTAATGGAATAAAGTTGTATCTGGGCTTCTTAGCAGTGGTGTGGTGCTTCAATTTCAACTCTTTCAATATCACAACCAGCTTGTACAGGCAGAGCCAAAATTGAGTGCAGAGGTAAGACAATATGAAGTAGAAACCAGAGTAAGTCCTATTTGTAACCACTAGCACATACAAAAGTGTTACAGCAGCCATATTGGTATATATACTTTTGATCAGGTACTAGATGAACATTCTGCACTCAATTAAAGCACTGTTGATCAAAGCAAGGTGTGCAACAACAGCATGACCAAGTTTAGGTTGCAAGCATCAACTAGCAGATGGAAGGAGCAAGTGTGTAAAAGCAGCGAGTTTAAGCATTTCATGCAAATGCATGAGAAGTAAGCACCAAGCCATCCATGATTTGCATGTGATGTGTAGTTGTGTTTAAATTGTTACACTTAGTTTTTTTCTGACATCACTAGTCACACTTTATACAAATCCACTATCCCATATACTGTACAATAGTATTTGTTTTCAGGATTTGACTAAATTGTTGGCTATCATGGTCTTCTGCTTTGTCAGATATGCTCCTTGCTCTTGTGAAGGCAAGCTGATTCAATGGAATAAACATGAATATTGTTGGGAGTAGATTAGACCTTTAAAGTAAAACTATACTGAGAAGTAAGGGGACTTCCGAGTTCTTTCTAAAGATGCTGATCAGCTGTTTCTGGTTGCCTTACTCAGTAAGATGCTGCCTGGTACAAGCATGCAGATCAGAAGAATAAGAGTAATGTAAAAGCCCCTCATTTGTATACATGTTAGAGTTCAGTAAAGGAAACCCACAGACCAGCATAAAAGTCAATAAACTAGCATTTTCAGGACAGGTCAACAATCGCAACATTCATACTTTTCAGTAGAAATTTTTTCATTTAACTGTTGGAGTAACAGCTTCAATCCTAATAAAGAGCTTGATGTTTGAGTTGAACACCGGCCATTTGTGTGTTTGGCAAACACACTAATGGTAAGGGTGTTCGGCGGGCTATTCGTCCATCGCACCCCATAAACCACTGCGCACTTACAGTGCATTGTAATTGGCCAAAGCAATGCACCTCATCACAAGTCAATCACAGCACAATTGGGTGGAGCTAGCAGTGACATCACAACTAGCTCCGCCCAATTGTTTACATCTAACCTGCAAATGTCAGATAGCGAGTGCTCGGCAGGTGCAGACAGGTCTGTGGGACATCTGTTTTTTTATTTTATTTTGGCGAGTCGGTGTTGCCATGACAACGCTGGACACCATGATTGATGATAGATTATAATGATGGAACTTTTTTTGGCTTTTTTTTTTTATAAAGTTCTTGTCAAAAACTGTTGTATTTTTGTTAACAGTGTACACTTTTTTGGTGAATGGGTAGGGGTACTATGTACCCCATACTCATTCAAAAGGGGTGTGGGATCTTGGGGCCCCTTGTTAAAGGGTGCTTCCAGATTCTGATAAGTTACCCCCTGCAGACCCCCACAACCACAGCAGAGGGTTGTGGGGAAGAGGCCCTTGTCCCCATCAACATGGGGAAAAGATGCTTTGTGTGCCATGTTGAGGGCATGTGACCTAGTGCAGTTCAGAAGGGGGGCACTTGTTCATCCCCCCCTTTCCCAGCTTGCCAGACCTGTGCTTGGACCAAGTGTCTCATAAGAATTTGGGAGGGAAACCAAAGTTTCCCCTCCCATTTTTGGGGGGTGAGGTTCCCCTTAAAAATCCTTTCAGGCATGACTTTTATGGCTTATAGGGAGAACCCCACATACTTTTTTCCCAAATTTTTGGGAGGTGGCGTGCCTCTTAAAAGTACTACCAGGCCTAAAGTGCCTGGTATGGGTTTTTTTTTGGGGAATCCCACATGCTTTTTAAAAAAATGTTTTACTGTGGGGTCCCTCCTAACCTTCCTACCAGGGACTGGTAAGGATTGGGGGGGGGGAACCCCATGCTGTTTTTTTTTCTCTTACTAAAAATGTCATTTAAAAAAAAATGTCAGTCCTGCTGCAGCTGGTTCTATACATTGTACAGATGTGCAACTTTGCAGGTAGTTTAAGAGGACCCCCCTCCCCAGGAATGATATTTAAATTTACAAGTTTGAGTCTCATAGACCTGAATTATGTTTGAAGTTCGCGGGTCGAACTTTCATTAGGTTCAAATATTCAACCACGAACCAAATGGGGGGGGGGGGGGGTGTTCAGCCCTTCACTATTCAATCCTATGCTAGTTACTAGTTTTATATTTCAATAATTTTATTGAGTTTCAAGGGTAAACAAGGGAAAAACAGGGAAAAGATAAATGATTCAGTCATACAATATTACAATAGACAAAATATAATTGATCATTTTGTTGTAATTCCGTTCTTGGATGGATGAGGTGTTGGTCTTGTTTTAGCAATATCATCAGAGGTATTCATGTGTATTTGATGAACTTTGGTGATGTGATTTCGGGGGTTATGGGGGGGGGGGGGTTTGGAGTGGAGGTGTAGTTACTAGTTTTAGACCACGACGCTGAACCTGTAATTGCTTCAGACATAGTGTATAGCTGCACAGGGAGAGTTGAACCAGTTACTCCTATAGGCAGGGACTATTATGACTGAGTCCCTTTACCATAGCCTGTTCAGTAGTACAAAATGTTTGATGAACATTAATGCCATACTGTGATATTATTTGCCTTTTAAAGCAGAAAAGGGCTTGGACAGAACATGTGCAGTGTTGATACATTTCAACTGCTTTTGTAAAGAACACAGATGTATGAACTATGCCTAGTGTCAGGTTTTCATCTGTTCTATTGGAATCCTGCTGAATGCATTAAGAGCACAAAAAAGTATCAAATTTGCAATGCAATCAGGATGGACTTCATGCATTGAGTAGGATTCTATTCATTGCACTGTAAGTACTAACCTGCTCTGTCTGCTTTTGAACTCCCCTGCATAAGAAGATATATGGATTATGTGCCTCTACATTGATTTTTTTTTCTTTATAAAGTTGTCTAATATACTTTCAATACTTGTATATAATATTGTTAAATACATTCACACACCATACTTTTCTCATTTTGTCTTTTTTGGTTTCTTCTAAAACTGATTGCTTATTTCTGTGAGTTTCAGTTTTTAGTGAGCTAATATGTGCATGTATATATAATGTATGATATCTAAAAGTATAATATATACAGTATACTGTATACATTTACTTACATATGTGTATATATATATATATATATATATATATATATATGTGAGCCAATAATTATGTGCAATTTTGCTATAATAATCTTTGGATTGTCTGTACTGATTTCTGTGCATGCATGTTGAGAGATGACTCCTTTTCATCACTTTATCGAATCTTTGACCTTCATCACTGTTTCCTTTGCTGCTGTTGCACAGTAAACATGTATACTGATTAGCCATGACATTATGACCACTGAGAGGTAAAGTGAATAACATTGATTATTTCGTTACAATGGCATTCGAAAGTGGGTGGGATATATTAGGCAAGTGAACATGCTGATGCTGAACATGAAACCAGAAAAGATGAGCAGGTATAAGGATTTAAGGATTTGAGCAAATGGCCAAATTGTAATAGCTATATGCAGCATCTCACAGAAGTGAGTACACCCTTAACATTTTTATAAATATTTAATTATATCTTTTCATGTGACAATACTGAAGAAATGACATTGCTACAATGTAAAGTAGTGATGTACAGCTTGTATAACACTGTAAATTTGCTGTCCCCTCAAAATAACTCAACCCTCAGCCATAAATGTCTAAACCTCTGGCAACAAAAGTGAGTACACCCCTATGTGAAAATGTTCAAATTGGGCTCAAATTGTCAATATTTTGTGTGGCCACCATTATTTTCCAGCACTGCCTTAACCTTCTTGGGCATGAAGTTCACCAGAGCTTAACAGGTTGCCACTGGAGTCCTCTTCCACTCCTCCATGACGACATCACGGAGCTGGTGGATGTTAGAAACCTTGTGCTCCTCCACCATTTAAGGATGCCTCACAGATGCTCAATAGGGTTTAGGTTTGGAGACATGCTTGGCCAGTCCATCATCTTCACCCTCAGCTTCTTTGCAAGACAATGGTCGTCTTGGAGGTGTGTTTTGGGTCGTTATCATGTTGGAATACTGCCCTGCAGCCCAGTCTCTGAAGGGAGGGGACCATACTCTGCTTAAGTATGTCACAGTATATGTTGGCATTCATGGTTCCCTCAATGAACTGTAGCTGCCCAGTGCCGGCAGC